TAACATGTATTAACATTTTCAGACCAGATCCATTGATGATTTTAACGAATACTGGGAACTTATTGGGACTTTCTAAGTGAAAGTAACATTATACAAAATGAATGTGTGCATTTCAAATTCATTAGAAGGGCTTCCTAACCTCAGCTCTGTGTTCACAAACAAGAAATAAGCTAATCAAGACTGCCAACGTTTATACAGAGTAAAAGACATGACATCATCAGTGCTAAAAAAGTTTATTTTATCTGTTTATACACTACATGGCCAAAAGTATGTGGTCTAATTGTTGGGTTTGGTTATTTCAGCTACACCCACTGCTGACAGACGCGTCAAAGTGAAGACACAGACACGTAGGCTTTATAGACAAACATTGGCAAAAGAACGGGTTGCAATGAAGAGCTCAGTGAGTTTCAGTGTGCAGGGGTGGATTTAGTGATTCTGGGGCCCTAGGCCAGACATGTCACACTGGGGAGCATTCGGGCCAAAGTGCTGTGGATATTGGCGTTTACCCTCATCTATCGCTCTGAATACAGTTCATGAAGCCCTTGCTAATTAGCTGATGTGCTGAGTCAGTTGTATTTTATGAGGCAGTGTGCTGAAGTCTGCAGTGTTTTGGCCTGCGAGAACCGGAAACTGACAAATGTGCCTTAGGCAAAAAAACAGGAACAAAAAACAGGAATGGGGCCCCATGGATGCACATTTTTAAATGAATTGTGGGTCTGGGTTCCTGAGTCGTATATCTGTTTACATTGCAAAAAAAAATGTATCTTGGCAAGTGAACTCATCTAGCTGATAATATACAATATTTCTCATCTTGACATAGTTGAAGAATACTATGAGATTATTTTACATCATTATAATAGCAGGTAATTTTGCTTGTTTTAAGAAATATAGCTAAATTATCTGCCAATATAGTTAGATAGTTTGGTACAGAGTAACGCAGAAGTACAGTAAAGAGTATTTTTTTTATTTCTTGTGTTTTTCAATAAGTAATAAGTAAATTAATCCCAATACATTTTAATTGAGAAGTAATTAGTAACTTGAATGGATTACTTTTTTGAGTAATTACTCAACACTGGAACTATCTATACTGACAATAACGCTAGCATTATGTAGTGCTGAGCCTGTGCAGCACAAGATAACTCTAAAAGTAATCTTGTGCAACAAACAACCAAACACCCCCATTATAACTGAAAAACGAAGTCATGATCCAGCTGCAAGCAGCAGAACATGATGCATTGCATTGCTTTTGACAGGCATAACTCTTCCATTCCTCCTTAAAATGGATGAGAAGAAACTCTCCCATGAAGTGCAGAAAAGGAGGGACCTCTATGACCCTTTCAGTAGATATTCTGAGGATTTCAACAGAAATGAAACCATATGGAGAGAAATAAGCAGAGTGTAGAAAGCTGGAGGTTAATGGATACCATTTGTTTTGTATCACTGACTGATAAGTATACTTAGCTACCTAGCAGATATACAATAGCAGATAAAACTGAGGTGCCCAATACGACAGCATTGCAAGGAAACTCACTCAGCTGACATCTCAAGCTATTTTCTGATAGGTCTGTGGTTTGTTTACTTCATTAGATGCTGCTACATTTGGATGCTCACTTGCTGTTGTTCTTGTGTTTCTCTACTGCACTTGGATAACTTGTGTGAATTTCACGGAGGGTGCTAGAGTCTATCCCAGCAGTCACTGGGCAGAAGGCAGGAAACACACTGGATAGGGCGCCAGTCACAACTTGGAACAGTCCATTATAATCATGATAAGGCAGTAGTGTGGCTTTGAAATTACTGATCTCTACAGTCAAATATTCATATATTTGAATATATTTGTACATAATATATTTTTCAGAACAAATTATTGAACATCAACACATGCAGTATATCTAATTCGTATTTTCATGGGGTTTGGCTCATGGGGGCCCTAGGCAGCTGCATACCTTTGCCTGGTGTAAAAACCTCCCCTGTCAATGTGCCACTGTCAAAGGATGCCACCTTTCCAAAAGTCTGTCAAATGTCTGCCTGCTAGAACTGCCTTGGTCAACCGTAAGTGCTGTTATTCTTAAGGTGAAATGACCAGGAGAAACATTAGCTCAGGGGTGAAATGGTGTGGCACACAAGCTCACAGGATGGGACCACCGAGTGTTAAAGCATGAGGTGTAGAAACATCATCTGTCCTCAGTTACAACACTGTTCATTGGGAGCTTCATGGATTGGGTATTGATGACCATGGCAGCCAAGTAACCGCACCAAGCCTGAGAACATTCTGGCAGTCTGACAGGTGTATCTGGGTTTGGTGGATGCAGGAAAGCGGTACTTGCCTGAATGCACAGTGCCAACTCTAAAGTTTGGTGGAGGAAGGATAATGAGCTGGGGCTGTTTTTCATGGTTTGGGTTCCTTAGTTCCAATGAAAGGTGATCATAATTCTACAGCATACAATCATATTCTACAGAATTGTAGACAACCCCCCAGGGGACCTTAACATACAGCTCCAGAGGCATAAACAATTGACTCAGAGACAGCCTCAAGTGGTTAGAGTCAAGATTGAAAGGAGGCCAGTAAACGGGACAGGGATAGGGGCAGAAACACAAACATGGTCTGGAGCTGGGACTATTTATATAACAAAGACAAGGATAGGGACACTGTTTGGAACAGACACAATCTGGAGCGCAAACTGAGCGAAGAACTAAGGCTGACACTGTATGAAACAAGCCACTAAAAATGATTTATGTTTGATGTTTGTTTCATAGTTGAAACCAATGTATTGCACGCAAATTAATGTTTGCAGCAAAGTGCAATAAAATGAGAGGTTAACCTAACTAGGCTGGTTTAAGCTAACCTAACTAAATAATAAACAGAACTCCGAAAAGCAGAGTACTGCTGACTAAACTGAAACTATTTAAAATAACTGGGCTATTTGAGTTAGCCTTACTTGCTGCAGAAGTGTGGATCACTGAAAAATAGAAAAGTAACTAGTACTTTAATACTAAAACTTAAATATAAAGTTATTTAAACTTGACCCTGTTCACTACCTTGACTCTATGCAATGTTTGCATGATTTCTTTTAAAGTAAAGTCAACTAATTTAAGTTTAGAGTTTAACTCACTACCTTCATTTTTGATGGTCTGGTCTTATATCATGAATGAGGCTTTAAAGCAGGATGTGTGCATGTGAGTTTGATCCTTTAAATTCCAGGCTTATTGCATACTAAGGCTTATTATTCAGCAACTACAAGAACTTCAATGCAAACTAGCTGAGCTATTACTAGGTTATAGAAGTGTGTAATAAAACTTTGGGCCCGCGGTCAGGCCCTGGCCATTTCAGAGTTTAAAACAAAGCCATTTTTAGTACAACCACAAACAAAACACAAATGTATAAATATACAAATGGACACAAGACCAGAAATAAACACAAGAACACATAAGTGTTATTTAAACACAGGGGACAAAACAAGACAGCTAAGGGAACTCGACAAAGACTAAGAACAAGACAGGACTCTGCAGGAGACATGGGAGGATGCTAGAGAGGACGAAGCCTGGACAGCGAAACTGTGACAATTTCAACTCGGAACAGATCATTCTGTGCTCTGAAAGTATCTTGGAAATGTACAACCCAAAATGTAAATAAAAACAAACTGCAATGATGTGCAAATCATTTAAATCCTATATGTAATTGAAAATAGTACAAAGACAACATATCAAATGTTAAAACCGAGAAAATGTATTGTTTTGTTTTTTTTTTAAATATATGCCCATTTTGAATTTGATGCCAACAACACTTTCCAAAAAAGTTGGGATAGGGGCAACAAAAGGTCAGGTAAATTTGTGAAATGCTAAAAAAACACCTGGTTGTTGACTGGCAACAGGTCAGTAACATGATTGGGTATAGAAGAGCATCTCAGAGAGGCTGAGTCTTTCAGAAGTAAAGATGAGGAGGGGTTCATCACTCTGTGAAAGACTGCGCTGGCAAATAGTGCAACAATTCAAGAATAACATTTCTCAACATAAAATAGCAAAGAACTTTTGCTTTTCATCATCTACAGTATATAATATCATTAAAAGATTCAGAGAATCTGGAGAAATCTCTGTATGCAAGGGACAAGGCCAAAAATCAATATTTGTTGGTGATCTTTTGGCCGTCAGGCGGCACTGCATTAAAAACAGACATGATTCTGTTGTGGAAATCACTGCATGGGCTCAGAAACACTTCTGGAAAACACTGTCTATGAAAACAGTCCGTTGCTGCATCCAGAAATGCAAGTTAAAACTCTAAAACGCAAAGAAGAAACCATATATAAACAGGATCCAGAAATGCTGCCACCTTCTCTGGGCTTAAGCTCATTTAAAATGGACTGAGGCGAAGTGGAAAAGTGTCCTGTGGTCCGACAAATCAAAATTTGAAATTCTTTTTGGAAATCAAAGATACTGTGTCCTCCAGGCTAAAGAACACTCAGCTTGTTATTAGTGCACAGCTCAAAAGCCAGGGTTCATAATGGTATAGGCGTGCATTAGTGCACATGGCATGGGTTATGTGCACATCTGTGACAATAAAACGATAAATGTTTCAACATTTGATATCATATTTTCATTTAAATATAGGGTTTAGACAATTTGCATATCATTGCATTCTTTTTTTATTTACATTCTGCACAGCGTCCCAACTTTTTTGGAAATGGGGTTGTAATAATAGACTGGTTTTTATACTTCCATTTAATTTCATAAACTTTACTTTATAGTCTATCTTGACACATATTGAAAACACAGCCTCATCTTTTCACCTTTATTTCTAACTGCTAAGTGTTCACTTCAAATACAGGCTTCATATTTTCAGAAGCAATCAAAACAGAAAAATATTGTCGTCTCACAAGTACCTACCAAAGGAAGAAGAAGGAAACCAATGCAATCAAAAAGCAGCAATGCAGGTCAGGTGCAAAGTGATGCACACTTCCTCTCCGCCGTTTTAAAGCAGCACACGGCATAAAGTGACACCAGTCTTGCGGATGCAGCAGTGATGATGACTCTGAGTGTGACTCTCTGCTTTACTGCTGTTCTGTTCAGCCAATACAGCGCCGTTCTAACAGCAGGTAAGAACAACATTCAGACTCCATCAGCTTGTTTTAGTTCATTATTTGAAATATTTCTATTTTAGACACACCTGCTGTTTATAATGCAGTGCTGTAGTCTTTCTACTTTATTCAGATTTTGTTATTTATTATTCACAAGTCTTTTTAAAACCTTCCTAGTTTATCTTTTTCCAATAAAGCATCTTGCACTCTGCACGACTTGTTTTATATATATATATATATATATATATTTATCTATATATATATATATATATATGCATAACAAATCGTGCAGATTACATTGTCAATAGTAACTCATGTACTTGTACTTCTGTATTTTGTCTACTTCAGCATCACGCATGCTGCAGCAGTGAGATAGTAACAGTATTGAATTCAGGCTTACAGCTAAACCTTTGCAGTCAAATGTAATTTTGACCTACTTTTGCTGTTAAACATGTATCTTTTACCTGCTTTTGGTATTAAATATGCAGTTTTAATCTGTTTTACTGCTAAAACTGTTTTAATCTAGTTTTAATGTTAATAATGTAGTTGTGGTTAAAAAAAATTGCTTTTACTGCTAATAACGCAGCCTTAATCACTTTTACTGCAAATAATATAGTTTTAGCACAGTGTTACTGTCAATGATGTAGTTTTAGTTTTCTGTTACTATTAAACATTGCTTCTACTGTTAATAATGCTATTTTAACCACTTTTACTATGGAGTTATAACCTGCTGTTACTGCCAATAATACAGTTCTAACCCACGTTTACTGTCAATGATGTGGTTTTCACCTACTTTAATTGGTCTCACACTCTGACAGTAAATACAAGAGACTTGCAGAGGTTTCTGTTTTGAAAAGCCCTGTTCCACACATATACATCACTCCCACACACCCACCTCAGGACTGCATGCTTTAACTACAGTTTTAAGTACTCAGTAGGATGTATTGAGTCACTGTTGTTTTAGTAAACTCACCACTGTAGAGCTTAACACTGTTTTTTAACAGAAGAACAGAAAGTGATTTTAAGCATACGTATTTTTGGTGTTTATTTTATGTATGCAGAATAAAAAAATAACAAATTACTGTTTAATAATGTTAATATTTACTTTGCAAACAATAAGCCCTTTGATAATGTAAAACCTGTCATTTTGGTTTGAAATGTTTTGGTTTACATCTAATTTACATTAAAGTTTTTACCGTCTCCTGTAAAGTTACCCTTTTGGAAACACTGCAGTGATAATATAAACAGAAAGTAAGTTACTTCTGTATTTTTAGTCACAGAATATTTACCTCACCAGTAAATGTACTACAGAGGAAGCCATGCTTTAAAATGCATTTAATGTATCCACAGGGGTTTATTTTAAATTCAAATACTTTAAATTCAATACAGGTGTAAACCTAAAAAGCAAAATAATGACTCAGCAATCTGCTGCACTATCCATGTGTTTTTGAATATCCCATTTGATTATATCAACTCAAATTTAAAATATTTACTTCGTCAGTATTTTAAGTGGTGACATTTAAAGAAATGCAAAAAAGTGAAAAAAGTAAACTTCTCAAAAAATTACAAGAAGTTAAAAGAAAGCCTAGAATCTAGTCTAGAGTCTAAAATGTTCTCCAATCATACTGTTCTAGAATATTCTCCCCACTGTCACTACTAGTTCTCTTAAACGTGGGAAAATCTTCTCAGACTCTGTTGGCTGATGCTTAAATTCCCATCACTTTGATAGATGTTTATCATCGCATCATCCATCTGTACACCTGAAAACACAGCTCTACTGACTGAACTCTGTACTTTTAGTGGTTTATATCTAGGCTATTGGTTTTTTCTATAGACTCCAAACTTTCTCAATCAGTCTGAACGTTGTCAAAATTTGTCATTTCTACAGGCCCTGTAACGAAGAATCAAGGAGAAAATCTGACCATGGTGTGCACCACAGAGGACACTGACCCAATGGGTTTATATCTACATCTAAGAAACCCTGAGAAACATGAAGTATTTTACTATGACATCAATAGTAAAACACTGACATCCCCCCCTGAGTATGAGGGAAGAGTTATCACCAGCGGTGACCCCAAGGAGCTAACAGTAACCATCACTAGTCTACGAGAGAACGAGATGGGCGTCTACACCTGCGTGTTTAACTTTTTTGATGGAAAACGTGTAGAAAAGGAGACGAATGGTGCTCTGGTGTTTGTGAAAGGTGAGCAAGCATCTGTGTCACTGTGAATCTGAAGCCATACGACTTTCTCCTTCTGTACTGTGATGTATTTGCACGTGAAATATGGTGTCAGGGAGGGTCTCTGAGCTAGCTGAGCATTTTCTTTCGAGGAAACGTGGGAGTGGGAGGAGAGGTGATATTATTGGTTAATATTATATTTCCCTGTTCGCTGGTGCACAGTAATATAATCAAAAATCTGACGTGTATCAGTCATTACATTTTTTATGACCACAGACTACCAATACATAAAATCCATTTGATTTAAGGTTGACTTTACCCAGCAGTCTGGTATAAATGCTGACTCAGCAGTCTGCTGTGCTACGCATGAGTTTTTGAATATTCTATCTGATTATATCAACTCAAATTTCTATTTCACCAGTATTTCAAGTGGTCATGTTTAAAGAAATGCCAAAAAGTGAAAAAAAAGCACTGTATTAGAATCTTCTTCCCATTCACAATATTCTACACTTTTCATCCATCCAGAATGGTCTAGAATGATCCCCCCATTCACACTGGTCTAGAATGATCCTCCCATTCACACTGGTCTAGAATGACCCCCCCCATTCACACTGGTCTAGAATGATCCCCCCGTTCACACTGGTCTAGAATGATCCCCCCCGTTCACACTGGTCTAGAATGATCTCCCCCTTTCACACTGGTCTAGAATGATCCCCCCCGTTCACACTGGTCTAGAATGATCTCCCCCTTTCACACTGGTCTAGAATGATCTCCCCCGTTCACACTGGTCTAGAATGATCTCCCCCATTCACACTGGTCTAGAATGATCTCCCCCTTTCACACTGGTCTAGAATGATCTCCCCCATTCACACTGGTCTAGAATGATCTCCCCCGTTCACACTGGTCTAGAATGATCTCCCCCATTCCCTCTGGTCTAGAATGATCTCCCCCATTCACACTGGTCTAGAATGTTCCCCTAATCCACACTTTTCAAGAATGTTCTCCCCCATGTCACACAGGTTTATTTGGTTTATCAGACCATTTTCTACACATTCTAATATAGGAACAGTATATTGTGAACCGCTGTGTCACTGTGCTCTGCCCTTAACTGATAATGTGTGGGTTTTACAGCGCAAGAGGCCGTGACTAGCAAAGTTTCTAATACAGAACCATCTGCCATGCCAGAGATGCTCGTGCTGGTTTCCGCACTTACTGCCTGCACTGTTGTCATACTGTGTGTGTTGGTGACCGCAGTGTGGATAATACCCAAGGTAAGCACAGTGTACTCACATCAGCCTGTAGCCATTTGCATGGAGGCAGGGGTTAAACTGGGATTTGGGAGGTGCTTCTTTCATGTGTACAAACAATGTGGAATAATATTGTTTAATACATGGAGCTCTGCTCTGCACTGATATCATGGAAATGTGATTAATCCCTTAAGCTACTTTGTATGTCCACATGCTAAGGCTTATTTTCAGCAACTACCTGGATAACCATGCAAAACAGAATCCTCATATTTTGTGTGATGTTCCAACAGTAAAAAAAACAGGGACAATAATCTAGGCTACATAAACTTTGAGGTATAATGAGTGAGGTTAAGTTTTGAGCTGAAAAGCCTGTAAATTCTTAAAAAAAAAACAGTTCCTAAATGGCTCTTGGCTCGGGTGTACAATTCTCAGAGAAGCCTTTGAGTAATATAGAACTTTTAAATTATGTTGAGGTTCTCTGAACCTTAGAAAGATCCATCACACACAAATCTCATATTTGTAAATAATTCTTTAAGAATCCATACAATGAAAGGTTATTTATGGAACTAAAAGTGGTTCTTTTATGGCAGTGATCCTCAGGGACCCAGATATGGTCCACATTTTTCTACAACCCAACTTGCAACACATAGGGATAGTGCAAAAACATGGACCGTCTTGGGGTCCCTGAGGATTTATTTAAGAAAAATGAGAAAAATCTCACTTTTAATTGCATTAAATTTATTCTGAGATAAAAAAATCCCTCAGCAAGATTGTTTGACAAAACCATGTGACACAATTATTGGCACCCCTGCATTTAATATTTTGTACAACCTTCCTTTGGCAATAAAACAGCACCCCTCGAACACCTTATAAGGTTGGAGAATACAGAGCAGTGAATTTGAGACCATTTCTCTGTACAGGATCTCTCCAGATTGTCCAGGGTCTTTGGTCATCTCCTCTCCTTTTTAGCTCACCCCTCAGGTTTTCTATGGGGTTTAGATCAGGGGACTGAGATGGTCATGGCAGAAGCTTGACACTGTGTTCATTAAACCATTTTTGTGTTGATCCTTTGGATTTGGTTTTGGATCATTGTCCTGCTGGAAGATCCAACGATGACCAATTTTTACGATGAGAGACTTTGATTTAAAATATCCTGATATTTCATGATGAGTCCATGATGTCACATACCCTAACGAGATTCCCAGGGCCTTTGGAGGAAAAACAGTCCACAACATCACAGACCCTCCACCATACAGTGGGCATAAGGTTCTATTCTGTATAGTCATCCTTTTTACGCCAAACCCACCTCAAGGGTTTGTTGCCAAACAGCTCCATTTCTGTTTCATATGACTATAGAACAAAAGTTCTAGTCAAAGTCCCAGCACAGTTTAGCAAACTCAATACACTTATGTTTGTGGTTAGATGACAGGAAAGCCTTTTTCCTAGCATGCCTTCCAAATAATCTGTTGGCCTGGTGTTGGTGTTTAAGGGTAGTTTTGGAGACCAGGTGACCCCCAGATGCTACTTTTTGTACTTTTTTTTTCTGTAACAGTGATCCTTGGATTTTTTTTGCCTCTCTTACCATCTTCCTCACTGTGCATTGGGGCAAAATAAAATTGGGTCCTTGTGCAGGCAAGTTTGTCACGGTTCCAGTTGATTGGAACTTTTTACTTATTGCCCTAACTGTAGACATGGGCAAGTAGCTCTTTTTATAGCCATTCCCTGACTTATGTAGGTCAACACACTTCCTTTATTTGAACTGTGTGTTCTCTTGTCTTTTTCGTGTTGAAGAATGACTATAGGGAATGACCTCTGTGTGACCTCGTATATATACCCCAGTCAAACAGGAAGTCATGGATTACTGATTGAAAGTTCCTTGACACTATGATGAACTTAAAAAAGTAAAATATATCGGGGCTCCCAAGTGGTGCAACCGTCTAAGCGTTGGCCCTGTCATCAGGAGATCGCGAGTTCGATCCCTGGTGATGCTACAGCCATCCGTAGCCTGGAGTCCAAGAGAGCACAATTGGCCTCGCTCTCTCTGGGTGGGTAGGATGCCCCCCCCCCTCTGCCCCCCATCACTCAACGCAATGCTAGTCAGTGCAGGTGTCTGTTAGCTGACGTAGCAGATCTGGCGGTTGGCACTTTCCTCCAAGCACGTTCAGCTGTCCAGTGACGTTGTGTGAGTGGCAGTTTGAAAAGATGCGGCAGCGCTTCACAGGTCTCGGAGGAAGCCTGTGTTAGCCTTCGCCCTCCTAGCGTTGATAGTATCGTGTGATTGGGGGAGTCCTAACTAGCGGGTGGAATTGGGAATGATTAAATTGGGGAGAAAATCGGGTAAAAATGGAAAAAATGCTTTAGTTACATTTTGTTTCTAAGAATGTCTAAGGTTGCCCATAATTGTGGCACATGTGGTACTCTCCAACCAAATACAATGCTCTAGAAGAAGCCTAAGTGTTGTTTTATTGGAAAAGGAGGTTGTACAAAGTATTAAATGCAGGGGTGCCAATAATTTTGGGACGTGTGGTTGTGTCAAAAAATCTTTTCTCATTTTTTCAGTCTGAGATTAAGCTAATTCACCAAAGGGTGAATTTCTTATAACCCTTCTTACTCATCTTTACCAGGAGTTCTAATAATTGTGGAGGGAACTGTTTATTATAATAGGGTGTATAACGGTGTATTATAGTAGACTATATTACAACAGGGTATATTATAGTAGGTTAAATTATAATAGGGTGAATTATAGTAGGTTATGTTATAGTATTCTACAGTATAAACGACTATATTATAGTAAGCTCTATTATAACAGCACATTGTTGCTGTCAGAACAAAACCTTGTAACTCCATTTTTGTTAATGTTCAATTTTTAACATTATTTGAAAACACCTGCTGCCACTTTACACTGTCAAAACGCCACGATGGACAGACCCATCAAAATGGTCTAAAATCATTTAGAACACAATCTTGTTATATTAACTTGTATTGAAATGATTTTTTTTTCTTCTCCAGTAAAGTTACTTTTTTGGAGATTTTGTTTTGACAGTGACGATTATTTAATAATACCCCATATTATATTATAGTATTCTCTGTTATATTAAGCTATATTATACTAAGCTACTTTATTATAAGACATATTGCAGTAGGCCATATTACAATAGGTTATATTAAAGTTAGCTATATTATAGTAGCCTACACTTTTAAAAAAAGGGGGTTCTTCAAGAGTTTCTTGTGAAAGAAAATGGTTCTATATAAAATCATCAACACTCAAAGAACCCTTTGCATGTTTAAAGGGTTCTGGGCATCATGAAATGGTTCCTTTGATTGGAAAATGTGCTGTAGAGGGTTCTATATAGCACCAGAAAGGGTCTTTCTTTTGTTATGTTGTCAAGCTTGTAATAAGAAAAGCACCCTTTTTGGTGCTATATAGAAACTTTTATTAAAAAGGTTCTACGTAGAACCATCTACAGCACATTCTCCAACAATCTGAAGAACGCTTTCACAACGCAAAGAACCCTTTAGTCATGCCAAAGGTTCTTTGACTGTGCATATTTCTATATAGGACCATGTTATTTACTACAGAACCCTTGAAGAACCATCTTTTTTGAGAGTGTGTATGTTATAACAGGCTGTTCTATATTAATCCCTAGATGGAGAAGTCTTGTACACGTTTGCTTGCTCACTTGGGTTTCTATGAGTGTGTGTGGTCAGGGTTTGTTTGAATGCAAGGAAAAGCAGCTGCTGACTTGTTTATGCTCTACTTGTTATGTGTGATGATTCACACTTTGTACAAAGCTGTGCATTTCCCAACAGGCCACTGCAGCTAGTGCATTGTGGTTTGTCTTAGAGGCGAACAAAAATGTCAAATTGCTGAGTCAGCTTGTTTTTGTGTATAGGTGAAGGCCCTGTGTGCGAGGCGGAGAGACAACAGGTCCAAGGCTCATAACGCAGTTTATGAAGATATGCGCGCCCACCGTATGCAACAGATCTAATTTAAACCCCCCTTTCCTGCACTCAGAGGTTGAAGGTTTGCCCTATCTGTCATTGCTGGATGCTTAAAACCACCTTGTTTGCTCTTTCAATGTAGATACAAAAGACTGTTGTCAGAACTAAACCTTGTATCGCCATTTTTGTTGTTTTTCAGTTTTTGACATAAATTGAAAGTATCTGTTGACCTTTACATTGTGTGCAAATTTCATGATGAATGGACAAAAAAAATGACCCAGAATGACTTACTTATACTTGTAAAGTATGTTTTTACCTTCTCCTGTAAACTTTACATTTTGGAGATATGAGGTTTCGACCTGCTGACCTTTACATTGTGTAAAAAAATCATGATGAACGAAGCAATTCCGACTGCAATGACATTTTACTATATAAAATAAATGCTTTATAGTGTGTATATTCCTGTAAATAGATATTTTTAAAATAAAATTGTCAATATAATGCAGTCCGGTGTGAACTGTGCGACAATTTGTGAAAAACAGTAATAATTAATAAATAAATAAATAAATAAACATGCTTGTTACAATGCATACACGTTTACTTTCCACCTATACATGTATGTATGTTTTTTAATGTTTATTTTAATGTAAATAAAATTTGAAAAGTAGACTGTAAAAATAAGATACTCAATAAATATATTTTAAGTGATGCATGTTTGTTGTATCATACAGTTCTCTCTCTGTTTTATTCCTAAACATACAAAGTCATCTACAAGTATCTTACACAGAAGATGGGGAAAGCCTGGTGACTCGCTGTTAGACTCAGACTCAACTCGCACTTCAGTTTCATGTTGACTCTACATTACAAATTTGAAATGTGATGAAATGTCAAAAAGGCATGAACAAAAATGACCATGAGCCCTCAGTTACTGATCTTGCATGTGCATCCTTGCCTGTGAGTTTTGTGACTGTCAAGCACAGTCATTTGCTGTGATCTTCTGCAGCCCTTTTGTAGTATCCAAAATCATTTACTATCATCATAAATTCTGTTCCCTACAACAGGACTCTATATAGTGATCCAGATTTTCTAATGTAAGGTACAGTGATTAGGGGACCATTTCAGACACAGCCATTGTTTTATGATAGTTTAGAGAAGGTTATGGCCTTGTAAGGCAAAAAAGTCCCAAAATAAAACTGTTTTTTTTTTTTTTCGTATTTATCACTACTTTACCGTCATCAAAATTAATTTTAGAAGACGTGTAAGTTCACTGGGCATTTTGAATAGTAAACAAGATGTATATACTTGCACTGTGGTCATCACAACCACACGTTCCTGTCAGTACCGCTGTAAACAAATTTAGAGCTGGTATGTTTCTCTGTAACAGAGCATTTAATATCAAATCACTCTGAAGAATCTGAATTACACAGAACTGCTGAAAAGTCTGGTATTGTGTGGAATTTCCGATTAAGGTAGGGTTTAGTCAGACTTCCCTGCAACACTCCACTGAAGGGCACCATTCATAAGGCCACACAACACCTACTTCATGACAACTGATATACGCCTACATAAACATTTATGAAGGCTTATTCAAACAAACATCAGTTGTCATAACACTGACGAGGTGACATGACATCAAAATTGACGAATCATAATTTATGATTTATAAGACTTTATATTTATGTAGCTTTACATCAGTTGTTATGATAGGCTTATGTAAGGTTCATGTAGTCTTGCAATTGTTGCCCTTCAGTAAAATGTAACCAATATTTAAACTTTTGAATAGTCATGAAAGTCTTGAAAGGATTCTTGATTTGCAAATTCTTTATACGTTCTCATATTTAGGAACTATGAGACGTCTGAACTCTAAACTCCATCAGAGAGCAGAACCTGCATCTTACGTCGTGATCATAGGTTCTAATTTGTTAAGTATGTTTTTTTTTTTATTATGCCACACAAATTCTAATATTAAATCTGACCTTAAACACTATAAACACAGAAAGGTCAATTAGCCTGTAGATTCAGGAGTATTTTAGCTAGTTTGGAGAAATATCAGAGCGTTTTACTGTGTGATGCTTAACTGACACTTCACTAAACTTCACAACTAAAAACCTCAGACTTACTGGGACTTCCATAAACTGGTGAACATATCTGGCATTTGGTAAGTACACATCTATATTCTATATACTATATATTATATACACAAAACTGAAAAGCTGATTCTAGTCTGGTGCTAAATGTACAGGCTAAAGCAAACTCAACACCAGAACAAACCAGCTGTGTCCAAAAACACTTTTGGTAGTATGCGGTTTTGGACGCAGACCTGGATTCTTGAGAGAATGGCACCCTGGGAAAACACTTAAACATTAGCACCAGCCCTACTGTGAAGCAGGCCTGCACATAGGGTTGCCAGATTTCAGCCATGGCAAAACCGGACAGAACATGGATGGGGTGGGGGGAGTTGTGATTGGTTTCGTGTGTTGAGGGGGGTGGTGGGTGTCCAGGAATTATACAAAATTTTGTTATTTTATGTACAGCAAGTATCTAAAGTTCCTCATTCTGTCTTTTCCAGCATATTTTTTTACGTTTCAGAACAGTTGAATGATTATCTGTGAGTATTATTTTTAAGTATAATTATCTATAAAAGCGCAAGCAGCTTTCCAAAAAACAACTTGAGCATAAGGACAAAAGTATAAAAAAGTCAATACTGTATTGATGTTTTGTACTTTCCTGAGTTTTTCCAAACAATAATACATTTATTTCTACTTATGTATATAATCATTGTTCAGAAAAGTCCCCCCCCCCCAAAAAAAAGTTTTTTTCAGATTTATCACAGTTTAATCATCGTAAAAATTACATTTAAAAACTCAAAAGACATATAAAGTGAATAAAATGATCATATTTGGTTCCATCAACACCACTGTAAAGAAATCTGAGTCTGTAAGTTTCCTCACAATGAACAATTTTCACATCAAACCACTCTGAATGACTTTCACAACAACTGAACAACAGCATCTGTGAAAATCAAGGGAATTCCCCTTAGTTTAGCTGCTTTACTGTCACTCACAGCTCTCAGAGCAAAGGAATCCAAAAAGAAAAGAACAGAGTCTAACAAACTCCAGTTCCCATGCTGAAAAATGCTGGATGTTCTTGGACGTTCCACTGCGGTTCTACAGTTACTCCTTAAGCAGTGCTTTGAGCTGCTACTTTTGCATTTCTACTCAAGTTGTTTTTGGACGGGTATTTTTACTCATTCGTTACTCATTTAGTCATTTTTTCACTGCAATGATAAGAGGAGAGGTTTAGGATGCTCTATACTCCTCCGCCTTTCGTGCAGCCCTACTCTTAAGTACTTGCTGGGAATTTTCTGGATGGTTAAACCCACACGAAAAAAACAACACCATGTCTTGCTCTTATTCTAAAAATAAAAAATTTGTGTGTTGATTATTCAAAAAAGGATCACCACACCTGAAATCTAACTCACAAGGGGATTTCTGAAGGAAAAATCATGCTTCTCATCATCCACCTACTTCATACACATCACCACTTTGATTGTGTCTTTAGCTCTTAGTTGGTGTGCTAAGAATGGCAAATGTGGACTTGTGGTATCCACATGAACAGATTGGGTCAGTGAAAAGCTTGTGCATAAGTCTTGCTAAGCCTCATCTAGCTAAGTGAGACTTTCAGTTCCTGTTTTCGGTGGTTGTTATTTTCTATAAAAGAAAAAAGACAGACTTAAGGCTAGAGTACGTCTTGAAAACGGCCTGCAGACTTCCTCCCCAGTAGTAAGTGGTCGTGTTTTGAGCCCCTGTAGAGGAAATCTCTCTCTCTTTCTCAGAAAGGTCTGCTTTTCTACACTACTTTTAATAAAAGCGTGTATTCTAAACAGTGGCTGAACTTTCACATCCATTCTAAACACCCATCATCATTCGACAATTCAACACCAATTTTAAACTAATCGTTTTGATGAAACAAAGATTTGTTTTGATTTAGAAGGCTAATCTTGTACATACAGTAGCTTCCGCAATAATTTATAGATAGAGAGACAGACAGACAGATGAATAGAGTACTTTGTTAATCCCAAAGTGACAGCCTGTTTAATGCAGCATGCTTGTGGCTTTTGTTGAATTGTCATAGACACATCTTTAAGTATGTATGTATACACCCATACATATATATGTACACTGATAAATTTGGAAGCTTTCATATAGTAAAACATCCTTATTTTGCAGTGACTTCTGTTAGTTGGGCTGATGATGTTGTAATTTGACAGTACATCTGTTTAGAGGACATGTAGAAGCGGATCAGGTTGACTTGTGCTTGTTTTGACAGAGCAATTATGTTTAATTCAACACACAGCTGCGTGTTAACCTCTTATTCTCCAGGGTGTATTTTGGTTTGTCCGTCTGAATTTACATGACCAAATCGTAAGGCAAATTATTCAGTAACTGCATGAAATAAATGTATTTATTTATTTATTTATTTATTTATTTATTTATTTATTTATTATTTTTGTAAAAGCTCCCCTTAAATTAACAGAAAATGTGTTTTATGATCATACACATATTGCTATATGCTTACAATTTACTGCTGAAAGCCAAAAATCGTAGACACTCTTTGTGTTATATTATAAAAATTATTTTTACAGAGCAGATCACTGAAGAGACGCCATCTGTTTATAGTTTATAGCCCAGATTTGTGGAAAAAATGGGTTGACTTTCAGTAGACAAAAATTTTTTATTTAAATTTTATTTTATTTAAGGGTTTAATATTACATCACCCATCTATTTGACTGGAAAGAAGACAGTTACAGCTCTCATATGACCCCCACCTTTAGAATGTAGCTTATGAAATATGAAAGTTATGAAGAATATGAGTAAGTGCGTTTTGGAACCACCGGTGGTCTCAAGGAGTTAAAGAGGTCTCTGGTTTAGTAAACTGCTGCTATGCTAATGACAGAGCAATAGCCCTTCTCTATTATAGACACTTTTCTATCTATATTTCAGCTATTTTATTATGATTTGAATTTGCTTTGTGTGTGGTTCATTCTACCATTGCAGTGGCAAACAGGATTTGAATGTTGATATGTATTTCAAGTGTACATCAAGTGTTAATATGACAAAACATAGTGAAAATGATCCTAACACCCCTGAACAATGACTAAAATCTGAGCTTTTCTAAAATCCAGTAATCCAATTACTGTATAATAAGGCTGAAATTGAGTTATGTTAATCATTTAGTGCTGATTATTGCTGCTGTGGTGATTTTCTTTGTGGAGAATTATTTAGAGGACTTAGTAGCTTGGCTTTGAAGTTAAAAGATCCCTCAAACTTTTAAAAACTTTTTTAAATTTAGTCAACTTAGTAGAGAGCCGGCTAAAGTGCAATCTAAAAAAGAGAACTAACTAAAAGCTGACTTTAACCATTAGCTGATTACCCATTGATCAGCTAATATGGATATCTTTATAGCTTAAGTAATTAAATACTAAAGTTATCTATTTTCCTTCTTTTTTTGGCTGTTGTTAGTTAGCCAGCTAACTAACTAATATCCATCTTAATTTGCAAAATTGTATAATCTGAAAAGCAGCAAGCTAGCTACCAGAGAAGACAGATATATAACCCCATTTCCAAAAAGGCTGTGCAAAATGTAAATAAAAACAAAATGCAATGATGTGCAAATCATTTAAACCCTATATCTCATTGAAAATAGTA